GAGAGAGACTCTTACATCACTTAGAGCTGAGGATCGCACAAAAACACACACACTGAACATTATACACATACAGGGACACTTATTGTACACACTTTACCAGCCAAGAGCCTGAGGTAAAGACGATCTACTATTTCGTGTTTCCTATTTCAAATCTATAACCTCCATCCTTTCGTGTCATGGTGTTTGGTTGGATCTTTGATCTCATGTGTTACATTTCTTCATTGTAAGTGGTCGTTCTGGTCATTTTGGACCCTCAAGTAGGATAGCAGGTTGTGGTCATTTTATTCATTATTTTACCACAATTAATGTTGACATTTGTGATAACGAAATATAAAATATTGACAAATGTGACTAATATTCTTTTCAGCAGTTTTTAACAAAACAAAAGGTAATCTATAACCGTCACTGTTGCTGTCTGAAAATGTATTTTCTTCTATCACAGATGTAGGCAATTTGCTTTAAAATATTTTAAAAACTTGACTGTATCTTACGTGCAAATATGTGAAAGGAATAGTTAGATATTTTGGGAAATGCTCTCAGTTGCTCCACTCACATGTCTGTTGGTTAAATATGAAGCTATGGCTAGCAGCTGGTTAGCTTATCACAAAGACTGGTTAGCTTAGCACAAAGACTGGAAACCGGTAAAACTGGCTCCGGCCAAACGTAACAAAATCCAGCTAACAGCACCTCTAAAGGTGGCTCTTTAAGTAATACATCATTTACAACTGTTTGTTTGATACCTACAAAAAAGTGTAAAAACCAACAGCTTTAGAGGTTAGCCAGGCTAGCTGTTTCCCTATTCTTTGTGCTATACTTAGCTAACCGGCTGCTTGCTAGCTTCATATTTACCATACAAATATGAGAGTGGAATCAATTGTCTCATCCAAATCTCAGCAGTAAACAATACAAGCATTTCTCCCCCTAAAAAACTATTGCTTTAAAAGCACAAAAGTGTAATCTAGAATGGTCTAAAACAGGGAAGGGGCAATACATTCTGGAAATTTCCTTTGTTTGAGAAATTAATGAATAACCTGTATCGGCAAATGTATATTGTGTTTTATCTCCCAAGGTCCTTACAGCTGCTGAGCACGTAAGTCTAGAGCTGTAAATGTTAATAAGTTGTCAATAAATGGATTTTGGTCTGGATAACCTGCAGCTCTTTTCCGCAAGGTAAGTACTGGAGCTGTCCATTGGATGAGTCTTCCTGATGA